CTTAGCATTAGTGTCAGAGGGAGGAATAATGCCCCATCGCTAGTGTCAGTGGGAGGAATAGTGTTCCATCGTTGGTGTCAGTGGGAGAAATAGTGCCCCATCAGTTCTGTTAGTGGGAGGAATAGTGCCATGGTTGGTGTTAGTGGGAGGAATAGTGACCGATCGTTGGTGTCCATGGGAAAAATAGTGCCCCATCAGATCTGTTAGGGGGAGGAATAGTGCCCCATCATTGGTGTCGGTGGGAGGAATAGTGCCCAATTTTTGGTGTCGGTGGGAGGAATAGTGCCCCATTTTTTGGTGTCGGTGGGGGGAATTATGCACCATTGTTGGGGTCAGAAGGAAGAATAGTGCCCCAAGGGCAGATAAAGGCAAGCAAAGGGCCACAGTTTGGAGACCACTGGTGTAAGGTAATTGACATCTGAAACTTTCTCAGATGGTAAGAGTCAAGACTATAACTAGAACTTAGGCATGCCAGAAGTCAGGTTGGGAGAACAAGACTGAATAAAGTTTGGAAAACAACTTTTTTTTAAATATACTGAAATAAGTCATGTAAAAAATAGATGCCATGGTCAATTAAGTCTTTTCCTAAGCTCTTTTTATTTTTTTGTACATGTATGCAAATTCTTGCTGAGGCTCAAAAAAAATGTCGTTATTTGCATCTTCTTACTGTCAAGCGTACTAACAGATTTCATATTATATCTTCACTCTCTTTCTGCTCAAAATGCAAACTTTATTCTAAAACGTGATAGTGATTGTTTTATTTGCATACAGATTTGACATTACCTTATATTAAATAAAACCCAGTTTCTGTACATGTTAGAGGTTAATGTTGATTTAGTATTCTGTTCAGCAGCACAGTCCAAACTGCTGTAATGTATGTGGATAAACTCATATGATATTGCTGGGTAAATTAGCTGGTTTAAATTCAGTAACTGATGGATAATACCTTAAAGGGAAACCTTCTAAACTGTGCTACGTGTTTGAACAGTTGAATTTTCTCACTTTCTTAGACCAGCTACGCCTCTATATATAACCAAATCCACAGTTAATTTCCATAGCATTGTACTTCAAGTTTAATACAGTTGTGAATTTCCATGTCAACATGGCTGGCAGGCTTGAACTAACAGAATGGTGCCTCTGGCAATTGCAAGAAGATCTGGGGTGTTCAGTCATGAATAGTTTTGCTGCCCCGATGTACCCTTGCTGTACTTAACTCCCAATACTAAACAGAGTTAGCAATGATGACATGTTAAAGCCACCTCCCTGGGTACAGCTGCAGCCTCTTGTCACATAATTCTGTTATTTGCAACTTGTTATGTGCACCTAGAATGGATTGCATTAAGAATACCAGTCAGGCACAACAGCAAGACCAACAGCTGGTATGCCCATAATTCCAGATTAACAGCAACAAAGTGATTTTAGGAAAAAAGGGACCTAGTACCATATAGCTACTGTTGCAAGAACAAAACAGAAATGCAGGGCCAGTAGACTATATTTTGTGTATGAATTTTAAGGCTTAGATTAACCTATAGTCAATTGTTAAGATAGATAAATATAGAGTAATGAAACGACTGAAGAAAATGTAACCCCAAGCCACCTCCAGTGTTGGTTACATCCTAAGCATTTGGTTGCATAATTACAGCCAATTTGAACTCTAACTCATAGGAAAAGAAGTGTCCAGGGGACTTTAATGAGTCAAACTTAATAAGTTAAAAAATATTAGATTTTATTCAAAAAGAAACCCATATAAAATCATTGGAAACAGACATATAAATAACGATCAACAATACAATACATCAATAAATCTAAAATACAAGTTCAGATGAAAAAGCATTGAGCGTGATCACCACATTGCCCTTGGTCAAAGTCTTGTGATAGTTCCAACATGTTTCGTGAAACAGCGTTCACTTCTTCAGGAGCATATGTAGTCATGGGTTCATTGTCTATGGAGAGATCAGGTCATTAGTAAGAGAAAAAAAATAAACAAAAATAACAAGGGAAGGAAAAGGAAAAATACACAAAAAGATCAACCCCATAGCCACAAAGTTAGTTAAAAATGTCAACAATCCTATATACATACTGACATGTCAGTAATGCTAAAGATAAGACAAAAAAACAGAAAGAGCAATACTGGCCCAAAACATGGAGCATGACAAGAAAGCACAAACCAGCAGCACTAGTCCTATCCGGGAGCTGTTTAAAGGTCTAGACTGCCCAAACAGGGCCTATAACGGAGGCCAAGAGTGGTAATACTTGGTTGGCTAATCACTGGGGACAAAAAAGAAAGAAAATAAAAAGTAGGAAAAGAATAATGAATGGACAATAAAGGTATTCAGAAAAAAAGTGTATATATTTTGGAAGAAACCAAAACCTGTGCATGAACTACAGCTGATGAACCAAAATAGCCACTAAGAAAATTGAAAAGTGTTAGATGAGAAGAGAAACACCCATAGTATACTGTATATAGGATTTTGTTCTCTTATTAATGACCTGACCTCTCCATAGACGATACACCCAGGGGCGGACTGACCATTTGGAAACTTGGGCACTGCCTGAGGGCCTGGGGTCAGTAGGGGGCCCCATGAGATGCCCCTGGTACCTTTTTCATAGGCTTTTTTGAGTTTGGGCAAGGACACGGGGGCCCCATGATCCCTTGTTGCCCGGGGGCCCCATGAGTTGTCAGTCCACCCCTGGATACACCCATGACTGCTTATGTCTCCTGAAGGAGTAAACACTGTTTCAAGAAACACTGAAAGAAACTTTCACAAGACCTTGACAAAGGGCATTGTGGTGATCACGCTCAATGCCTTTTCATCTGAACTTGTACTTGATTTTATATGGGTTTCTTTTTGAATAAAATGCAATATTTTTAACTTGTTAAGCTTGACTCATTAAAGTCCCTTGGGCACTTCTTTTCCTATGTATAATGTAACTTTTGACTAAGTCAAGCTTTGTCCACATACACCAACCTAAAACCCTCCAACCCACCCCTTCATTAGAGATAATGTGACTAAATATGTAGACGTTTGTTTTAACATATACTGTATATTATTTGGTCCAAGTAATATATGTGGTGCCAGATTTTTATACACTGGGTCACTATAAAGTCTCTGATAGCTCTGATGGTTGAGATTAACCCAGAACTATAAAGAATAACTACATATTTAAAGAACAACCCATAGCTCCCCCCACTTGCCCTCCACATCAGAAATTAAAATGTAATTGTAGACCTCACATGCAGAAGAATGAGAATATCATCGTTGTAGCTTTTCCATTGCTGTGCAATGTTGAACATCCCACAGCATCTACTTTAAGATACTATGTATATGCTAAACATAACTCTATGAGGACTAGATATCTTGGAATGGTGTTCACTTGGCTTTGGTTTTGTTTGTAGATGTTACGAAGGTAAAGGATATTTGATGGGAAGAATCTCATTGGCTCCCACCGCTGTCAATCACATCCAGGAGCCAATGAGGAGAGAGTGGAGAGAGCATGCTAACTAAGAGGGCACTACGTTTGGGTAATTCTAAATGCATTTTTACATTGTGCAGCAATGCCTCTATCAAATTCAAAATAAAATAAAATACAAACAGTTTGTAACTTACGAAAGTGGAGCTAATTAAGAGCAACTCTTTTTTGGTGGACAGAGAAAGACCCTGGTGCATTTTTAAAGTAGTGCAGTGTGCAACAAATTCAAGTATAAGTTCTAGAAAGATACATGATTTTGGCGCAAGCTGCGCCACTTTTAGAGTGCATGCAAGACACTTTTGCAAAATCTGCACCAGTCTTTATGAATTCAAGGGAATGTGTTTTGGAGGTTTTAAGGATATCCCTTCTTTTGTGCTCTGGAATTCTTTTGGTAGGAATGCAGTAACATTTATGTGTACATGCCTGGGACCGTAAAGGCCCTTGTTATTCTTTTTATTAGTGAACTTTTACAAATTGTCCTGTTTAACAGCTTCCCACTAGGCCACTGCATATAAACATCTTGGTGGGAGTTTCCCCATTCTGACTTCCCATCAGAAAATGCACCTTTCATGGCCGCTTGGCCTCAGTGGCGCTATCCTGTGAAGGCTGTGTCCAAGGGACACAGCACATCACAGATCAGATCATAGGCGATGTGATTGGCACTCCCCCGATTACGTGATGGCTGTGCCCAATCAGAGCCATCACACAGTGCAAACAGAGACACATGTCTCTGTATTGGCTCTCCCCACTGAGCTCAATGAGGGCTCAGTGAGGGGGGGGGGCTTCAGTCTGTCAGCTATCTCTGTGTAGCTGATGATTTTAGTGTTCAGCTTCACACAGACTGCAGTCGTCCCCACACAGTACACAAAGCACCATCTGTCCCTGTCTATGTGCCCCATCAAGATCTGTATCAGTGTTCCATCAACATCTCTACCAGCGTACCAGTGCATAAAACATCTGTCACAGTGCACCAGTGTCACATCACCATCTGTCAGAGTGTACCAGTTTACAAAAACATCTGCAATAGTGTTCCATTGCAACATGAACATCTGTGGACCATCAACCTCTGTCACAGTGTACAAGTGCGTAAAAACATCTGTCAGTGTACCAATGTCCCACTATTAAATAAATAAATGTGTTTGTGTGCATTAAAATTCATTAACCTCCCTAGCGGTCGGATTATGTCCATATTTCTGTTCTGAAAGCGGTACATTTTTTTGCATGGAAATATGTCGTTTTTTTATTGTAGGCCTGTAATTTTTAGGAATAACTCACTGAAATCTGTCCGAACAAGAGTCTAGTAAACATCCCGGGTATAATAAAACTTGAAACACGAAATCATAAATTATAATATAATAATTAATCATAAAAAATAATAATATAATAATAATAAAAAATGTAATTCAATAATATAATCAAACCAAAAATACTGAAATTTGAAATATAGCGCCAAGTTCGCACATCGCTGAGTTCAGTTGCAGAATCGTTTGCAGTATCTGATGACGAATTTCCCCACGAATCATTATCACTCAATTCTGCAAGTGGTTCTGATTTACTATCGCTGTATTCTAGCTGGTCTAAAGCCGCTTTTTACCTAAAGGGACACTTTTTGGACGCCATGGACTTTTCTAAGTTTGCAGGCAGAAAGAACAGTAATAATGCAGGCAGGGCACAGGACAAAGCAGTAGGGACAAAATGTATGTGAAATGCTTTGAAACACTAATGTTTTACTATGTTATTTTAGTGTATTTTGTGAATATCACTTTTTAAAATTTTCAAATCTCCCACCGGTTATGGCCCCGTACGCCCAGACGCTTGCAGGACTGGAACCCGAAAGATGGATGCCGGCAGGAGATGGCCGGGGATGCTGCAGGGCACACATCGCAGGAGCGCAGGACAAGGTAAGTGCTGCAGGGAATCCCTGAGCAATGCTGCATGGTATTCCTGAGTGTAGCTCGGGGTTACTGCTTTTGGTACTGAAACTTTACCCCGAGCTACACTCGGGAAATACCGCCAGGGAGGTTAAAGAGTATTTTTGCGTTAGTGTGTAAAATTGCGTTTGAAAAAAATGCTGCGTAAATGCCATTTGACATAAAAATTTGCAAAACCCATCATTTTATTCTCTATGGTCTCTGCTAAAAAATATTAAATGTTTGTGGGTTCTAAGTAATTTTCTAGCAAAAATACAGATTTTTTTTTGTAAACAAAAAGTGTCAGAAAAAAAGGCCTTATCTTAAAGTGGATAATGCCTGAAGGTGCTTCTTGGATGTTGGGCCTCCCTATGTGGCTAGGCTGTGAAAAAGTCTCACGCGTAGTATTGCCATGCTCAGGAGGAGTAGCGGAATGTGTCGTTTGGTGTAGTTGCAAGTATGCCAATGTCGTGTGTGAGAAATAACTTGTTAGCATGACATTTTTGTGAAAAAACTAATTTTATTTAATGTCTTCATTTTCAAAAGACTTGTGAAAAAAAATTAGAACTTCAAAAAACTTACCATGCCTTTACTAAATACCTTGGACTGTCTACTTTCCAAAAAGGAGTAATTTGGGGGGGGGGGGGGGGATGAGATGTGTACTGTCCTGGCATGTTAGGTCTTCAAGAAATAGGATAGGCAGTCAATACTTGAGGTGTGATTGATTTTCAGTGATAGCTACTATAGCTTATAGACTCTTTAAGTTTCACACAGACCAAATAATATGCACTGATTTGGGTTATTTTTACCAAAGAAATGTAGCAGCAAATTTTGGTCAATATTTATGAAGAAGAATTACTTATTTGCAGAAAGAAAAATTGTTGGTCTTTTTTTCTTTTATAGTGTAAAAAATAAAGAGTCCAGTGGTGATTACATACCACCAAAAAAAAGCTCTATTTGTCTAAAAAAAAAGAAAAATTCATATGGGTACAGTGTTGCATGAGTAATTGTCATTCAAAGTGTGACAGCACTGTAAGCTGAAAACTAGCCTGAGCAGGAAGGGGGTAAAAGTGCCCAGTATTGAGGTGATAAAAAAAAAAAAAATTGATAGGTTTTCCTAAAAATATGAGTGGTCTGTGTAAATATGGCCAATTATTTAGCAGTATATCATTGTGGACTCTTTTCGATGTGTAGTAGAAACTCTCCTCTGCAATCCACTCACATCCTTCTTCCTAAGTGCTAAGTGGAAGGGTCTGTCTGCGATAGTCACATGATATTCCGCAGTGTCTTAAAACTAGAAAATGGTGAGCCAATCACATGAGCAGGCAATGGCATTTCTAGGAGGATTTTATAGCATATTTTTGTTAGCTTTAGAAATTGTAGATGAGGTAACTGTCAATAACAGCCTGACTGACTGACTGACTGATTTTCAGATATACAGATGAAACTCGAAAAATAAGAATATCGTGCAAAAGTTCATTTATTTCAGTAAAGCAACTTAAAAGGTGAAACTAATATATGAGATAGACTCATTACATGCAACGCATGACACATTTCATCTGATTCACACAAATTATGAACTTCAACTTGAACCCCATTGAGGTCAAAGGAATGAAAATCTTAAAAACTGATTTTATCTATTTTCAAGGTTACTAGGCAAGAGATTGTAAAAAAGGGAATGGAGAACAGGACATGGCCCTGGGGGACAAGTGCAAAGTAAAAAAAAAAAAAGTAAAAAACGACAGGTTATGTGTTATGTTCTCCACTACTTGGTGGACTTGTCCAATGTTCAACCATTTTTGGACCAATGTATTTATTCTTCTGCATAGGCTATTTGGAGTCCATCTCCCTAAGGACCCTTGGATTGCTCTGATGCATTTCATACCACTGGGCCTCTCCAAACAATAGTTTAGGCTAGCACACTGTCATCTTAGCTTCCAAATTGACAATCACTAGAGAAACAATTTGTCTATTTTTCTGAGGTTGAAATCAGACTGGATGGCACAACTAAGTAGCATCCTCCTCAATAATAATGTTGATGAACAGTTGAACACATCACTTACCTGATCAGAGGTTCCCGCCGCGCCGCTCTCTCTCCCTCAAGGACGGGACTTGCTTGTATTGTGGGCGGAGATATCTCCACCTATAGTACAGTTTTCCTTATTTCCAGGTGCTGAAATGCAGAGAGTGTTCCAGTGTCCGGCATCTTGCTGTACTGCACACTCTGGGCACAAGGAATGAGTCATTCTGCTATCTCCATGGTTCGGACATAGGTCGAGAACAGGAAGCTGCCACTGCGGGACAGCTAGCAAGTATGCCCCTGCATCTTCAAAATTTTGTGCAAGTGTGAGGAGGAGACAAGCTGTGATGCAGCTCCTGCAGCTGCGGCACTGTGGTTGGATGCTCTGGGGGGACCCCCTCTTATCTACGCCCCTGGCTCTGGCTGTACATTTATTGTCATTTTCCTGCTGGAAGGTGAACCTCCACCCCAGTCTCAAGTCTTTTGCAGACTCCAACAGGTTTTCTTCTAAGATTGCCCTGTATTTGGCTCCATCCATCTTCCCATCAACTCTGACTAGCTTTCCTGTCCGTGCTGAAGAATAGCATTGCCACAACATTATGCTGCCACCACCATGTTTCATAGTGGGGATGGGGAGTTCAGGGTGATGTGTTAGTTTTCCACTACATATAGCATAAAAAGTTCTATTTTGGTCTCATCTGACCAGAGCACATTCTTCCACATGTTTGCTGTGTCCCCCACATGGCTTCTCACAAACTGCAAACGGGACTTCTTACGGCTTTCTTTCAACAATGGCTTTCTTCTTGCCACTCTTCCATACAGACCAGATTTGTGGAGTGCACGACTAATAGTTGTCCTGTGGACAGATTCTCCCACCTGAGATGTGGATCTCTGCAGCTCCTCCAGAGTTACCATGAGCCTCTTGGCTGCTTCTCTGATTAATGCTCTCCTTGCCCGGCCTGTCAGTTTAGGTGCAAGGCCATGTCCTGGAAGGTTTGCAGTTGTGCCATACTCTTTCCATTTTGAGATGGTGGATTGAACTCTTGGATTTTTTATAACCTAACCCTGCTTTAAATTTCTCCACAATTTTATCCCTGACCTGTCTGGTGTGTTCCTTGGCCTTCATGATGCAGTTTGTTCACTAATGTTCTCTAACAAACCTCTGATTGCTTCACAGAACAGCTGTATTTATACTGAGATTAAATTACACACAGGTGGACTCTATTTACTAATTAGGTGACTTCTGAAGGCAATTGGTTCCACTAGATTTTAGTTAGGGGTATCAGAATAAAGTGGGCTGAATACAAATGCACTCCACACTTTACAGATATTAATTTGTAAAAAAAGTTTTAAAACCACTTATCATTTTCTCTCCAGTTCACAATTATGTGCCACTTTGTGTTGGTCCATCACATAAAATCCCAATAAAATATATTTACAAACAAAAAGGCAAAAATGTAAACAAAATGTCAAAATGTGGAAAATTTCAAGGGGTATGAATACTTTTTCAATGCACTGTAATTGGCTCAGGTCATTGATTAAATATGGCCATCCCCTGGCTGTCAGCTGAATGAGGCTGGGGATGCAATGTCAAATTTTATGACTCATTTGTTCAAGCAATGAAATTGTGGATTTTTCATCCATTTACCACCACTTTAAATCCTCAAGATTAGTACCCAGTGTTTCAGATTGGATGCCAATAATTATAACCACCTAAGGGAGTATATAGGTGGAACCTGTTTTAATTAAACTTCATCTACAGTCTCTTGTTCTCTTTGCTGTTGACATGTCGAAGTCATCATGCCAAGGTCAACAAAGCTCTCTAAGGCCCTCAGAAAGAAACCTTTGGATATCTGAGTCTGTAAAAGGATTTAAAAAGATCACCTTATGATTTGAAATCAATCAGTCCACTGTGAGAAAAATAATCTATAAGTGGCATAAATTTCAAACAATTGCTAATTTGTACAGGACAACCCAGGCTAGCAAATTCAACCCAAAAAGTGACCATATGATATTAAACGAGGTAAACTGTAATTGTTTGAATCATATAAAAGCACTTGATGAAATTGTGATGCTGCCCATCCAAAAAAGTTGTGAAAAAAAGTTGAATCAAAAATTAGTCTTTCCACACATTAGTAAATCTACCGTGGATTGGCTAAAAAAAGAAGCAGGGGGTTATAGAATGCTGTAGTCAAATTCTTGATTTTATGTAGCGCTCTTTAGGTAGCTAGGTTTATTGCTTTGTAGTTGAGGCTGGGTAGCAGACTAGGAGTGAGGTGATGTTTCTTCTCAGGACAGGTTGGGAGGCTCTACAGGTATACATATAGGGCTTCTGACAGCTTAAAGCTGAATGCTTGGTAAACAGCTATATACAGGGCAGCAATGGGCAAACTACGGCCCGCGGGCCGTATACGGCCCGGCGGACCTTTTAATCCGGCCCGCGGAGCTAGGCTCCCGAGGCTCCTCACAGTCCGCCCTGAAGACTGTAATGAAAATCTGTCTCCTATGAGGAACTGTCCCCCTCGACGTATCTGCATGTGCCGGAGATCGCCGATCAGCTGCTAATGCCTCTGAGGCAGATACGTCGAGGGGGACAGATCCTCATAGGAGACAGATTTTCATGCTACACCGGAACGGCGAGGGAGCACGGCGAGAGGAACGCGCGGAGCAAAGGTAAGTGAATTGACACAGGGGGGACTTGGGGACTTAATATGGGGGATGAATTAATATGGGGAATGAATTACTATAGGGGGGATGAATTACTATAGGGGGGATGAATTACTATGGGGGATGAATTACTATAGGGGGATGAATTACTATATGGGTGGATGAATTACTATGGGGGATGAATTACTATATGGGGGATGAATTACTATATGGGGGATGAATTACTATATGGGGGATGAATTACTATATGGGGGATGAATTACTATATGGGCGATGAATTACTAT